TTAAGTAACAAAATTTAAAAAATTTTTTTAATAAGAATAAAATGACAATTGTTAGTACTAGTATTATGAGAATGACTATGTTTAATGTTACTATTGTATTTTTATTAGAAGATATATTAAGAAGTAAATGTAGAGCTTTACAATGTTTTAAATGTTCGATGTATTATAACATATGGAAGAATGCTGCACAGAAATATTTGTACCCAGATGACAAATTGCTTATGGAAAGATGGAATGTTTATATTTTTTTAAATTGAAAATAAATAAATAAAAATTTAAGAAAAAAGAAAATGTTGGCAATGCAAAAAAAAAACAAAAAACAATACAAGACCAGTGTTATAATCTGGAACAATTTCAGAGTAGCTGGAATTAATTAATCTTTGTTGCCTGGAGAATTAGATAAAAGGTCTCTCAAAAGAAAAGGATTAATTTCACAGGAAAAGATTATTACAATTAGATGAACAGGGAACACTGTTGAGTGCAAAATGTGTACTTATTGTAGGAGATGACCAGGCTGTGCCCAAGGGAAGAAGCATCAAATGCATCATTGGTCTTGAATCCCTTCATATCCACGAGAGATTTAAGTCTACCTCACCCTAAACTCCATTGACTCTTATAAGCAATGACTTCCCCGGATGCTTCCCTAGTTAGCTCTTCAGATGTCAGCAGTTAAAGGCATGTCCAGAGGGGAACTGGTAAATAGTTCCAAGCAGCCATCTGAGAGAGGTTTGAAACAAACACATTTTCAGCAGGACAGCTCAGAGGCTTCTGGTGGAGAAAATATGCAGCTGGAGCCAATCATTGATGAGGAAGAGGAACTGCCTGGTGCACCTGATCCAAGAATACATAGGGCAGAGAAAAGGCAGGAGCGGAGGAGGTCAGCCAGATTACTCGTGATGAGAAAGCCTCGCCCTTCTTGAAAGACTACACCAGAAAATGGCTATTTAGCACAGCAGAGAGAGGGTCATGCAGGGCACAACATGTTCATTTCCTAGTTATGTATTTACTAGTCGTTGTGATTCTTGCCTTGCTTTGAATTGACAACGTGCCTTGACTTGGATTGTGTCTTGTGAACTCTGGACTGTGAACCCTCTTGTATTGTGGATTTAATTTTGCATGTTGTGTTTATTTTGGTTGGGAAACGTTCAAGCACATTGTGGACTAATTGGCATTGTTCTGTGGACTAGCGTTGGTCTCCTTGTGGCTGAACTTAATTTGAACAGTTCTGGGTTTTTGGTGAAAGAAGTTGTGGGGGAATATTAATAAACCCACTAAACCATAGTTACGTGTGTGCGAGTGAGAGAGCAGGATAGCACATTTATCTACCACCAATTTGGTTTGTTAATAGTTCAGATTCTTATAGAGAGCTTAAGCTTGTAATAAGCTTATAAATTCATTTAACTGTCTGGACTCCTTATTTCCCATGCTTGATATAGATTAAGTTAGCCGCAAGGCTATTATTGATGCTTGTTATAAAATATAACTATATAAGTATATAAATATAAAATATGGGTTAACACAAGCATTATTCCCTTGATTATTCTAGATATTTCTTTATTCCTATCATTTGCATACTTACAATGATGTTTGCAATGTAAGCATAGGATAGAAAAGCATAGAGCTATTATTGTTTAGAGATAATCAATGTAATGATTTATTATAAGATTGAGATTATTTTATATTTCAACCACACAATGGCAAAACTTTGCACCTACTTGTTACTGAAACACATTCTTTCAAGACTTAATCGTAAGCACTTCAATGTTTTCTTCTAAACTATTCAACTTTTGCACTCATGTGCAAAAGGCACTTCTGGGTTGAAAGGATTAGCCAATGACATCCCACTGTCCTGGGGACACCCAGTTCAGGACTCTTTTCATGACCCCAGTAGGAGCTGGAGCGAAGGACAACAGCTCAGCCCTGCCCACAGCAGCACTCAAGTCTTAAATGCAGGCTTGCTAACCTGCCCAGTGTCCCAACCATTTGAGCCACCATGCTCCAATTATTCCGCTGAGATTAATGTTGATACTTACTTGCTATATGCTTATCTATTAATAGCTTATAATATTGAAAAGTTTTATTTTTATTTATTTATATCCTGCCTTTATTATTTTTATGAAAACTTAAGGTGGTGAACATGCCTAATACTCCTTCCTCATCCTATTTTCCCTACAACAACATTGTGAGCAGGGTGGGCTGAGATAAAGTGACTGGCTCAGAGACCCCCAACCAGCTTTCATGCCTAAAGCAAATCATGAACTCACAGTCTCTTAGTTTCTAGCCTGGCACTTTAATCACTAGGCCAAATTGGCTGTTTGATATATTAAAAGGCTTATTAATTTCAGGGTCATTTTTATGATTCACCTTTTATAATAAACAATGGTTTATTGGTTTGCAAATCTTAAAACCATCAGATATAATCAAGATAGACTCACCAATTTTCCTTAGGGTAGGTTATATTGTCTGCAGCAGTGTTTCCCAAGCTTGGCAACATTAAGATATGTGAACCAGTGTGGGATTCAATTTTTTTTACTGCTGGTTCTGTGGGCGTGGCTTGGTGGGTGTGGCATGGCTTGGCAGACATGGCTTGGTGGGCATGGCAGGGGAAGGATACTGTAAAATCTCCATTCCCACCCGACCCCAGGGGAAGATTACTGCAAAATCCCCATTTGCCCCTGATCAGCTGGGACTTGGGAAGAAGAGAATAGATGGGAGCAGGGCCAGTCAGAGGTGGCATTTACCGGTTTTCAAAATTTCCGCTGCCAGTTCTCCAGAACTGGTCAGAACTTGCTGAATACCATCTCTGATGTGAACTTCAACTCCCAGAATTTTCCAGTCAGCATGAGAAACACTGATCTATAAGGCTGGGGAAACTGTCAAGAATTGGGGAGTATGGTCAAATCTTAGAAGACATGATGATACCTGATTATGAAAGTCAGCTATTAAATCTTCAAAAATGTGGAAGTTGTTGACCAAATTTGACCATTTTTATCCTAAAAATACTGATTTTAGGAAGGAGAAATTTTTATTACTTTAACTTTAGTTAAATTGGTAACTTTACAACAGGTAATTAACCACTACTCCTCTAGACAGTTAATAAGGCCTAAATAAAGCCATAATAACGTTTATTAAAAACAATGAAACTAGCCAATAGCCAAACATGTGGCAGATGTAGCATAATCTCCATTTTCAAAGTGTTGTAGAAACAACAATTTTAACTGCTTTTAAATGGTTAAAATAGTGTGTAGGAAAGGCATATGGTTGCCAGACATGTTCTTATTTCTTAAATCAGTGATTTAATATTTAATATTCTGCTTATTTTGCAATTCTTTTTCAAGTTTTGTCTTTGGTATTCAATTGTTTGAATACCAAAGTTTAAAGAACTTTTATCTCATTGGAGTACAATCAAATAAACTAAATGAAGTTATTAAAAGAGAGGATATCAGTGCTGACGTAAATACTCACATTTTGCTCCTTTACAAATGAATTTCTCACTGCTTTCACAAAATTAAAAATAAAACATCCTAGCAGAAGGAACAGGAACAGCACGGATGGCCACATCACAATTATGCCAGGGTGTTTTCCCACATCCTATACATGGAAAGCAGAATTATCAACTAAGTTGCAGATGATCCACTTTTCTTCCTTCCCTGTATAAATTTGACTTAATTTATGCAGTAAATTAATTGTGAATGCTGAAGCTTATCATGAGTTCATATCAGAAATCTTGGGTCTTTAGGACGCAATTAAGTGACAAAGGCCTAGTTTATTCTAATCTTATAGACCAGTGATGGCGAACCTTTTTGGCATCAAGTGCCCAAACCGGAATGAGCGTGCATGCACAGACCAGCTGGCCGGTGCACAAGCTGACCAGTAGTCTTTGGGTTTCTGGCACATGCATGAGTGCTGGCCAGCTGGTCTTTGTGCGTGCCAGAGCACCGGAAACCCGAAGACCAACTGGCCAGAGCACATGCCTGTTTTTTGGCACTTTTGGGGCTGTTTTCAGGCCATTTTCAGGCAGTTTTTGGCCCAGAAAATGGCCAAGAAATAGGACATTTTTCAGGCTGTTTGGGGGCCATTTTCAGGCCGTTTGGGGGGGCATTTTTTGGTGCTCAGGTGCCTGTGAAGACAAGCTGGCCGGCATGCATGTGTGTGCTGGAAACCAGAAGACCAGCTGGCGATGGTACGTGTGCCCACAGAGAGGGGTCTATGTGCCACCTCTGGCATGCGTGCCAGAGGTTCACCATCATGGTTATAGTCTAATGGGAAAGATCCTGCCAGTCAGCATAGATAATAGGAAGCAGATGGACCAATGATCTGTCTTTCTGTAAACTCAGCTATGGTTTACATGCTGGAAGGATATGGAGCAGCTTTGTCAAATCTTGAATCCAGGGTTAGATTAAAAACTCCCATTTCTTTCAGCCAATGTAAGAGAAGACATACTACTGGTACATAGATGTTGGAAGTTGTAATCCAACTCATGTAGATCCAAAGTTCTTCACTATTAGCCACTGAGGATTTGACTAATGGTTGTTTGGTATCAGGAATTCAGTCAGAATTTATGATCTCATTCATTTGCTGAATCCTGTCAAAAACTCACCTGCAGGGATAGATTTCATGACTTTCTACCACTTTGTCAATGTTATTGCCTCCCTAAGTATACTGAATCCATGTACTTTTTGTTTGAGCACTTGCTCCTTATTCATAAAAAGCACAATAGATTTTCTATAGGGGTAACCTTAACTTACATTTTTTGTGCATGGTGCTCAAAACTCACATGGAATTTTCTTCCAGCAGCTAACCAGACTAGTTAAACTTTCATTAGATTAATGCACTGTACACCTCAAGTGAATCTGCAATTTAGGGGTGAAGTTCAGCAGGTTCTGACAGGTTCTGGAGAACGGAAATTTTGCATAGACCGGAGAACCAGCAAATATCACTTTTTTACAATATCCTTCACCTGTTGTGCAGTGGGAATGAGAATGTTGCAAAATCCTTCCCCCGGGAGTGGGGAGGTAATGGGGATTTTGCAATATCCTTCCCCTGCCACGTCCACCAAGCCACACCCACAGAACCGGTAGTAAAAAAAGGAATTTCACCATACTAAAACAGTAATAATTGTCAAAAATATATACTTACATCATACTCAGGGCACTCTATAATGTCTAAGATCATAACAACTGTCCTGTAAAATATATGAAGTTATTAGTTTCCTAAATTGGCAGTAGAAGCTATAGAATACTTACATACATACATATTTATACTACTTGTTAAGCCAAATTTCTGACGAACTGAATTCAAATCAGATCTAACATCAGAATCATTCATCACTTTCCCACCGTTTCTTTAATTTTTATATTATTGGTGAAATCTGACTGGAAAATTTCAGGAATTAACTTCTAATACAATTGAAGTGTTCTGTTTGGAAAAGGATATTCTTTCATGAATGCAGATCTTCATTGGCAATAGTAAAGTTCTTACATTAAAGACTTCCTTAGCGGATGCTTCCAATATAACTTTCATCTCTTAATCCCCACCCCCATTAGACCTTGCTATCTTTACAGCAATTTAGAAAATAGGGAGATGCTGAAAGAGCTAATAGTTTATTGCATTGATTTTCCCATGTTCTCAGAAAACATTTTCCTTAATACATTCTATTCAATTTGCTAAATCATTTACTAATATCTGGATATTTGTGTTATAATTAATATGCTTTGGATATGATCACTGCAACTATCTTGATTTTCTTAGTGGCAGTATATATTTGTTATAAACATAGGAGAATCAGAGGTGGGTTCCTACCGGTTCAGACCAGTTTGGCCAAGTAGGTAGTAGGTACTGCCTACTCGGCCTGCCACGCCCCCGAACTGGTTCTATTGGCTCTATCGGCAGCACCTATAGCAGCACCATCTTTTTTTTTTGCTTCTGCACATGCGCAGAAGCAATTTTTATAGTACTGCACATGTGCGCATAGCGCGCATTCCCGCAGCCCATCGCTGAGCAAACCAGCAGTAGCGGCAGCCGGAACCCACCTCGGAGGAGAATGTGTAAATTCATGCCATGCAGATTTGCACCTATAAACATAGATTTGGGGCACTTCCACACAACACCATTTTCACTACTCATCCCAACTGTTAAAGTCCTCTGACATCAGGGATACTATGAGCCAACTGGTAGTCTCTCTAGATAAATAACATGGGAGTCCAAATCAGGAGTGTATGACTCCTTGCTTTAATAACTCTTAGTGATGTGCAAAATTCTCTCTCCCCTCCCTCCCTCCCTCCCTCTCTCTCTCTCTCTCTCTCACACACACACACACACACACACACTTCAATATGTGCTATGTGTACTTCTCTGACCCTTTTGCAAAACAAATGAAGTACTAGGCAGGTAGCTACTAAGTGTCTTGATTACCAAGATGTCATTCTTCCTGCATACTTGAATATTGTGATAGTGATATGGTAGCATAATTTTACAGTCAGGTCTTCTAATAGCTGCAACTATAGTTGAAGATGTAGAAAGTGTGACTTCATGCTTGTGTATCAAAAACAGAGTAATAATAAAGACTTGCTTGAACCCAGAGATTGGAAAGTGCTTAGAATACATATAGAAGTGTGTGTGTGTGTGTGAGAGAGAGAGAGAGAGAGAGAGAGA